GCTAGCGTAGCTTAACTAAAGCATGACACTGAAGATGTCAAGATGAACCCTAGGAAGTTCCGCAGGCACAAAAGCTTGGTCCTGACTTTACCATCGACTATAATCAAATTTATACATGCAAGTATCCGCACCCCTGTGAGAATGCCCTGCATTTTTCCCTAACAAAAAGAAGGAGCTGGAGTTAGGCACGCCACAAGGCAGCCCACGATTCCTTGCTTAGCCACACCCCCAAGGGAGCTCAGCAGTAATAAACATTAAGCCATGAGTGAAAGCTTGACTTAGTTAAGATTAAGAGGGCCGGTAAAACTCGTGCCAGCCACCGCGGTTATACGAGAGGCCCAAGTTGATAGATGCCGGCGTAAAATGTGGTTAATTTATAGTATTGCACTAAAGCAAAACACCTTCTAAGCTGTTATATGCTCTCGAAGATAGGAGGCCCTTTTACGAAAGTAGCTTTAAATGATATGACCCCACGAAAGCTAGGGAACAAACTGGGATTAGATACCCCACTATGCCTAGCCTTAAACTAAAATGACTAACCTACAACACCTCGCTTGCCAGGGAACTACGAGCCCCAGCTTAAAACCCAAAGGACTTGGCGGTGCTTTAGACCCCCTAGAGGAGCCTGTTCTAGAACCGATAACCCCCGTTCAACCTCACCCCCTCTTGTTCTCCCCGCCTATATACCGCCGTCGTCAGCTTACCCTGTGAAGGACTAATAGTGAGCATAATTGGCACAGCCCAAAACGTCAGGTCGAGGTGTAGCGTATGAGGGGGGAAGAAATGGGCTACATTCACTGACCCAGTGAAAACGGACGATGCCTTGAAACACTTATCTGAAGGAGGATTTAGCAGTAAGAGGGCACTAGAGCACCCCTCTGAAACCGGCCCTGAAGCGCGCACACACCGCCCGTCACTCTCCCCAAGTGCAAAACTACTAGTAAATAAACAAATAAACAAACAAAGGGGAGGCAAGTCGTAACATGGTAAGTGTACCGGAAGGTGCACTTGGACAAACCAGAGTGTAGCTAAAATAGAATAGCGTCTCCCTTACACCGAGAAGATGCCCGTGCAAATCAGGCCACCCTGAACCCGCTCCTAAAAGCTAGCCCGCCCCCCAAATGCAACCAACACCATTATAAACCCAACAGCACTTAATGCACAAAACAAACCATTTTACCTCCCAAGTATGGGCGACAGAAAAGGACACAGGCGCCATAGAGAAAGTACCGCAAGGGAAAGCTGAAAGAGTAATGAAAAAATCCAGTAAAGAGCAAAGAAGCAGAGACACCCCCTCGTACCTTTTGCATCATGAGTTAGCTAGTACCCCCGAGCAAAGCGACCTTTAGTTCGAAACCCCGAAACTAAGCGAGCTACTTCAAGGCAGCCTTTTAGGGCGAACCGTCTCTGTGGCAAAAGAGTGGGATGACCTTTGAGTAGAGGTGATAGACCTACCGAGCTTAGTTATAGCTGGTTGCCTACAAATTGGATATGAGTTCAGCCTTTTGAATTCTTCCCTCAACCACGGATTACCTTAAGTATGAGTGGAAGAAGCCAAAAGAGTTATTCAAAGGGGGGACAGCCCCTATGAATGAAGACACAACTTTTAGAGGAGGCTAAAGATTATAGGACACAAGGGAATGCACCTAGGTGGGCCTAAAAGCAGCCACCCTTACAGAAAGCGTTAAAGCTCAAGTGACTCCACACCCCGTAGATTCTAACAACCCCATCTTAAACCCCTCAAAATTAGTAGGCCTTCCCATGCAAGCATGGGAGAGACACTGCTGACATGAGTAATAAGAGAGTAAACCCCTCTCCACAGCATCTGCTTGAACCAGAACGGACCCCCCACTGGAAATTAACGCCCCAATGAAAAGAGGGCAATGAGGAAACCCGAGCTAGACAAGAAATCCCTCAAACACCAGCGTTTAACCCACACAGGTGTGCCCGTGGAAAGACTAAAAGGAAAAGAAGGAACTCGGCAAACCTTGGCCTCGCCTGTTTACCAAAAACATCGCCTCTTGTAACACAACGATAAGAGGTCCCGCCTGCCCTGTGACCCCAAGTTTAACGGCCGCGGTATTTTGACCGTGCAAAGGTAGCGTAATCACTTGTCTTTTAAATGAAGACCTGTATGAATGGCATAACGAGGGCTAAACTGTCTCCTTTCCCCAGTCAATGAAATTGATCTTTCCGTGCAGAAGCGGGAATGAACACATAAGACGAGAAGACCCTATGGAGCTTAAGACACAAGGCAGCAAACGTTAAGGCCCCTGAATCAACAGACATAACAAAGTTAGTCCCTGCCCTTTTGTCTTTGGTTGGGGCGACCGCGGAGGAAAGAAAATCCCCACGTGGAACAGGACATGCTCCTCGAGACCAGAGCCACAGCTCTAATCAACAGAACATCTGACCAAAAAGATCCGGTAATACGATCAACGGACCGAGTTACCCTAGGGATAACAGCGCAATCCCCTTTCAGAGCCCATATCGACAAGGGGGTTTACGACCTCGATGTTGGATCAGGACACCCTAATGATGCAGCCGCTATTAAGGGTTCGTTTGTTCAACGATTAAAGTCCTACGTGATCTGAGTTCAGACCGGAGAAATCCAGGTCAGTTTCTATCTATGAATGCTTTTTCCTAGTACGAAAGGACCGGAAAAAGGGGGCCTATGCTTAAAGTAAGCCCCACCCTTACCTGCTGAAGGCAACTAAAGCAGGTAAAAGGGCATCTACCGATGCCGGAGAAAAAGGCAAGTTAAGGTGGCAGAGCCCGGATTAATGCAAAAGGCCTAAGCCCTTTAAACAGGGTTCAAGTCCTCTCCCTAACTATGCTATACATTATTCTGACCCACATCCTCAACCCGCTCGCCTACATCGTCCCAGTCTTGCTCGCAGTTGCATTCTTGACCCTTCTCGAACGAAAAGTTCTTGGGTACATACAGTTGCGGAAAGGCCCGAACGTAGTCGGACCTTACGGCCTTCTTCAGCCCATTGCAGACGGTGTTAAACTCTTCATTAAAGAACCCGTCCGCCCTTCCACCGCCTCCCCCATTCTCTTTATTCTAGCCCCTATACTTGCCTTAACCCTTGCCCTCACCCTCTGAGCACCACTCCCCCTACCACACCTGTGGTTGACTTCAACCTTGCCATCCTGTTTATTCTTGCCCTCTCCAGCCTGGCGGTCTATTCTATCCTTGGCTCGGGCTGAGCCTCCAACTCCAAATACGCACTAATTGGAGCCTTGCGGGCCGTGGCACAGACTATCTCTTACGAGGTAAGCCTCGGATTAATCCTGCTTAGTGTAATCATTTTTACGGGGGGCTTCACCCTTCAAATGTTCAGCATCGCTCAAGAGAGCATCTGACTGATCATCCCCGCTTGACCGCTTGCAGCAATATGATACATCTCCACCCTTGCAGAAACCAACCGCGCCCCATTTGACCTAACAGAGGGTGAATCTGAACTAGTCTCTGGTTTTAATGTGGAGTATGCCGGGGGCCCTTTGCCCTGTTTTTCCTAGCAGAGTATGCTAATATTCTACTAATAAACACCCTTTCCGCAGCCTTATTTCTCGGAGCCTCTCACATACCCCACCTAGCTGAGCTCACCTCAATCAACCTTATAACTAAAGCAGCCCTCCTATCAGTTTATGTTTCTATGGGTGCGAGCCTCCTACCCACGATTCCGCTACGATCAACTCATGCACCTCATCTGAAAGAACTTCCTACCCCTCACGCTGGCCCTGGTCATTTGACACCTTTCTCTCCCCCTTACCTTGGCCGGCCTTCCACCACAAATGTAGTGGAGCTGTGCCTGAAAAAGGGCCACTTTGATAGAGTGACTCATGAGGGTTAGACTCCCTCCAACTCCTTAGAAAGAAGGGACTCGAACCCTACCTGAAGAGATCAAAACTCTTAGTGCTTCCACTACACCACTTCCTAGTAAGGTCAGCTAAATAAGCTTTTGGGCCCATACCCCAAACATGTTGGTTAAACCCCTTCCTTTACTAATGAACCCCTACATCTTAGCCCCTTTGCTTTTTGGTCTCCTCCTTGGAACCACTGTTACTGCCACTAGCTCCCACTGGCTCGTTGCATGAATAGGCCTTGAGATTAACACTCTTGCCATTATTCCTCTAATAACACACCACCACCACCCCGAGCAATCGAAGCAGCCACTAAGTATTTCCTCACACAAGCAACTGCTGCAGCCACCCTACTATTCGCTAGTGTGACTAATGCATGACTAGATGGACAGTGAGACATCCAACTAATAAACCACCCCCTTCCCTCCACCCTTATTATTTTGGCATTGGCCCTTAAACTCGGACTAGCCCCCTCCACACATGGCTTCCTGAGGTACTTCAGGGACTAGACCTTGCCACCGGCCTCATTTTATCCACCTGGCAAAAGCTAGCCCCTTTCATACTTTTAGTGCAAATTCCCACCCCGCACCCCCAGCTCCTTGTGGCACTAGGACTTCTTTCCACCCTTGTAGGCGGCTGAGGCGGACTGAATCAAACCCAACTACGCAAGATTCTCGCGTACTCGTCCATCGCACACCTGGGGTGAATGCTTCTGATCCTTCAATTTAGCCCCTCACTTACGCTGATTGCACTGGCCACCTACATCCTCATGACCATATCTACATTCATAATTTTTTCATTCAACAAGGCCACAACCGTGAACACCCTTGCTTCCTCCTGGGCCAAGGCGCCCCTAGCCACTGCTGCCGCCCCTCTGCTGCTGCTTTCTTTAGGAGGACTTCCACCAATGACAGGGTTCATACCTAAGTGACTTATCCTTCAGGAACTAACTAAGCAACACCTTCCCCTTACAGCCGTCTTAGCAGCTTTCACCGCCCTTTTGAGCCTATACTTTTATCTGCGACTCTCTTACTCTATAACCCTCACCCTCTCGCCAAACAGCGTATCCGGCACCCCTCCCTGGCGCGTGTCCTCCCACAAACAAACCATACCAATAGCTACCACCACTCTTGCCGCTATTCTTCTTCTCCCACTGGCCCCCGCAGTAGCTATTGTCTGCAGCTAACAGGGGCTTAGGATAGCACCAGACCAAAAGCCTTCAAAGCTTTAAGCGGAAGTGAAAATCTTCCAGCCCCTGATAAGACTTGCAGGACACTAACCCACATCTTCTGTATGCAAAACAGACACTTTAATTAAGCTAAAGCCTTACTAGACGAGAAGGCCTCGATCCTACAAAATCTTAGTTAACAGCTAAGCGCCCAAACCAGCGAGCATTCGTCTACCCTTCCCCCGCCTGTTCGGGGGCGGAGGCGGGGGAAGCCCCGGCAGACGTTCAATCTGCGTCTCAAGATTTGCAATCTTGCGTGTTACACCCCAGGGCTTGGTAAAAAGAGGACTCAAACCTCTGTGCATGGGGCTACAAACCACCGCTTAAACTCTCAGCCATTTTACCTGTGGCAATCACCCGCTGATTTTTCTCGACAAATCACAAAGACATTGGCACCCTTTATCTAGTATTCGGTGCTTGGGCTGGAATAGTTGGAACAGCCCTTAGCCTCCTGATCCGTGCAGAGCTCAGCCAACCTGGCGCTCTTCTAGGTGACGATCAAATCTACAACGTAATCGTTACAGCCCATGCCTTCGTAATAATCTTTTTTATAGTAATACCAATCATAATTGGAGGATTCGGCAACTGACTATTCCCCTTATGATTGGAGCCCCTGACATGGCTTTCCCACGGATAAACAACATGAGCTTCTGACTTCTCCCTCCCTCCTTCCTACTCCTACTCGCATCCTCAGGGGTCGAAGCCGGGGCGGGCACAGGTTGAACCGTCTACCCCCCTCTGGCCGGTAACCTAGCGCATGCCGGCGCATCTGTAGACCTGACAATCTTTTCCCTCCATTTGGCAGGAATTTCTTCAATTCTGGGTGCCATCAACTTCATCACAACAATTATCAACATAAAACCTCCCGCTATCTCTCAGTACCAAACTCCGCTATTTGTGTGGGCCGTTTTGATTACTGCCGTTCTACTGCTCCTCTCCCTCCAGTACTTGCCGCCGGCATCACTATGCTCCTTACAGACCGGAATCTAAACACAACCTTCTTTGACCAGCAGGGGGAGGCGACCCCATTCTTTATCAACACCTCTTCTGATTCTTCGGGCACCCTGAAGTATACATCTTAATCCTTCCTGGCTTTGGAATAATCTCTCATATTGTTGCCTACTACGCCGGGAAAAAAGAACCATTTGGCTACATGGGCATGGTCTGAGCAATAATGGCTATCGGCCCTACTGGGCTTTATTGTATGAGCCCACCACATGTTTACAGTAGGAATAGATGTGGACACCCGGGCCTATTTCACCTCTGCTACAATGATTATTGCTATTCCGACAGGTGTAAAAGTGTTTAGCTGACTTGCGACACTGCACGGCGGCGCAATCAAATGAGAGACCCCTCTCTTGTGATCCCTTGGGTTCATCTTCCTGTTTACTGTAGGGGGCTTAACCGGAATCGTCCTAGCCAACTCATCTCTGGACATCACCCTCCACGACACATATTACGTTGTAGCCCACTTCCACTACGTTCTCTCCATGGGGGCCGTCTTTGCAATCATGGCCGGCTTTGTCACTGATTCCCCTTCTTACAGGTTTTACCCTACACAGCACATGGTCCAAAATCCACTTTGGAGTAATGTTTGTAGGAGTAAATCTAACATTCTTCCCCCAACACTTCCTAGGCCTAGCTGGCATGCCCCGTCGCTACTCCGACTACCCAGACGCCTATGCCTTATGAAACACAGTTTCTTCTTTAGGCTCACTTATCTCACTTACGGCTGTCATTATGTTCCTATTCATCCTATGAGAAGCCTTTGCCGCAAAACGGGTTGTGTCCTCCGTAGAACTAACAGCGACAAACATTGAATGACTCCACGGCTGCCCTCCCCCCTACCACACATTTGAGGAGCCTGCTTTTGTTCAGGTCCAAGCATCACACTAGCGAGAAAGGGAGGAATTGAACCCCCGTAAATTAGTTTCAAGCCAACCACATAACCGCTCTGTCACTTTCTTAATAAGATGCTAGTATAAAAAATACCCTGCCTTGTCAAGACAAAATTGTGGGTTAAACTCCCACGTATCTTATCATGGCCCACCCCGCACAATTAGGATTCCAAGACGCAGCCTCACCTGTTATAGAAGAACTTCTTCATTTCCACGACCACGCCCTTATAATCGTTTTTCTAATCAGCACCCTCGTGCTTTACATTATTGTGGCCATGGTTACAACCAAACTCACAAACATGTTCATCCTAGACTCACAAGAAATCGAAATTATCTGAACTATCCTCCCTGCAATCATCCTAATCCTAATTGCCCTCCCATCCCTTCGAATCCTCTACCTAATAGACGAAATCAACAACCCCCACCTAACAGTTAAAGCAATCGGACACCAATGGTACTGAAGCTACGAATACACTGATTATCAAGAGATTGCTTTTGACTCCTATATAGTACCTACACAAGACCTGTCCCCAGGCCAGTTTCGACTCCTAGAAGTCGACCATCGTATAGTACTACCCACCGAAGCCCCCATTCGAGTTCTAGTAACAGCAGAGGATGTCCTTCACTCGTGAGCAGTCCCCGCTCTAGGGGTTAAAATGGACGCCGTACCCGGACGCCTGAATCAAACAGCCTTTATTGCCTCCCGCCCAGGTGTTTTCTATGGACAGTGCTCAGAAATCTGCGGGGCAAACCACAGCTTTATACCCATCGTCGTAGAGGCAGTCCCACTAAAACACTTCCAAGACTGATCTACCCTTATACTTGAAGACGCCTCACTAAGAAGCTAAACCGGCCCACAGCGTCAGCCTTTTAAGCTGAAGATTGGTGCTTACCAACCACCCTTAGTGACATGCCGCAGCTGAACCCCTCTCCCTGATTTGCAATTTTTATGTTCTCCTGACTTATTCTTCTTACCATTGTTGTACCGAAGGTTCTCAACCACACATTCCCCAACGAACCAGCCCTGCAGAGCGCGCAAACCCCTAAAACAGACTCCTGAACCTGACCATGATAGCGAGCTTCTTTGACCAGTTTATAAGCCCCACCCTAATGGGCATCCCACTTATGGCCCTTGCATTTGTCCTACCCTGACTTATATTCCCGAACCCCGCCCCTCGATGAATCAACAGCCGCTTCCTCACACTCCAAAGCTGGTTTATCAACCGGTTTACATCCCAACTTCTTATACCGATCAATGTAGGAGGACATAACTGAGCACTTGTACTAGCCTCTCTAATAATCTTTCTGATCTCACTTAATATACTAGGCCTTCTCCCATACACTTTTACACCTACGACCCAGCTGTCCTTAAATATAGGCCTGGCAATGCCTCTCTGACTTGCAACCGTCCTCATTGGCCTACGAAATCAGCCCACGGCTGCACTGGGCCATCTTTTACCAGAAGGCACCCCAGTGCCCTTAATTCCTGTGCTCATTATCATTGAGACAATTAGCCTGTTTATTCGCCCACTTGCCCTCGGAGTACGGCTCACTGCTAACCTGACAGCAGGCCACCTCCTTATGCAACTGATTGCTACTGCTGCTTTTGTGCTCCTCCCCCTTATACCAACCGTAGCCATCGTAACCTCTGTTGTATTACTCCTGCTGACCATCTTAGAAGTAGCTGTCGCAATAATCCAAGCGTATGTCTTTGTCCTTCTGATAAGCCTTTATCTACAAGAGAACGTTTAATGGCCCACCAAGCACATGCATTTCACATAGTAGACCCCAGCCCCTGACCACTTACAGGAGCAACTGCCGCACTCCTGATGACATCTGGCACCGCCATCTGATTCCACTACAACTCAACCACCTTAATAACCCTAGGCACAGTACTATTACTGCTAACAATGTACCAGTGATGACGAGACATCGTACGCGAGGGGACATATCAAGGCCACCACACGCCTCCGGTCCAGAAAGGTCTTCGATACGGGATAATCTTGTTTATCACATCAGAGGTCTTTTTCTTCCTAGGCTTCTTCTGAGCTTTCTTCCACTCTAGCCTCGCCCCAAGCCCTGAAATTGGAGGCTGCTGACCCCCCTCAGGCATCACCCTCTTGACCCTTTCACCGTCCCCCTGCTCAACACCGCGGTACTGCTGGCCTCGGGTGTTACCGTCACATGGGCCCACCACAGCATCATGGAGGGAGAACGAAAGCAAACCATCCAAAGTCTTGCCCTCACCATTCTACTAGGAGGGTACTTTACCTTCCTACAAGCCCTAGAGTACTATGAAGCTCCCTTCACAATTGCAGACGGAGTTTATGGCTCTACATTTTTTGTGGCCACTGGTTTCCACGGACTACACGTACTTATCGGAACCTCCTTCCTGGCCGTGTGCTTGCTCCGCCAGATTAACTACCACTTCACCACTGAACACCACTTCGGATTCGAAGCAGCAGCATGATACTGACACTTCGTTGACGTCGTATGACTCTTCCTCTACATCTCCATCTACTGATGAGGCTCATATCTTTCTAGTACAACCATAGTATAAGTGACTTCCAATCACCCGGCCCTGGTTAGAATCCAGGGAAAGATAATGAACCTAATTATAACAGTCATCACAATTGCCATACTGCTCTCCACTATCCTTGCAGCGGTATCTTTCTGACTCCCGCTTATTACCCCGGACCAAGAAAAGCTCTCCCCCTACGAATGCGGGTTCGACCCCCTAGGCTCGGCACGCCTTCCATTCTCCATACGCTTCTTCTTAGTCGCAATCCTCTTCCTTTTATTTGATCTTGAAATCGCCCTCTTGTTGCCGCTTCCATGAGGAGACCAACTCCCCAACCCCGAGACAACCTTCTTTTGAGCCACCCTAGTTCTGATTCTTCTCACTCTTGGCCTAGTTTACGAATGAATTCAGGGAGGACTCGAGTGAGCAGAATAGGCAGTTATTTAATTAAAATGTTTGATTTCGGCTCAAAAGCCTGTGGTTAAAGTCCATAACTGCCTAATGACCCCGCACACTTCACTTTTTCGACTGCTTTCACCCTAGGCCTAGCAGGACTTGCTTTTCACCGCACACACCTACTTTCCGCCCTACTATGCCTGGAAGGCATAATACTGTCACTCTTCCTAGCCCTCTCCCTCTGAGCTATGCAGACAGGGGCCACAGGCTTTTCAGCCTCCCCATGCTACTGCTGGCCTTTTCTGCATGCGAAGCCAGTGCAGGCCTAGCCTTACTAGTTGCCACTGCCCGCACCCACGGCACTGACCGCCTGCAGAACCTGAACCTCCTACAATGCTAAAGGTCTTGATCCCAACAGTTATGCTTATCCCAACAGCCTACCTAACGCCTGCTAAGCAACTCTGGCCCACCACACTTATATTCAGCCTCACTATCGCGGGCGCAAGTCTTTCCTGGCTAGCCAACGCCTTTGAAACCGGCTGGTGTTCCCTTAACAGCTACATAGCACTAGACCAGCTCTCCACCCCCTCTTAGTACTAACCTGCTGGCTACTTCCTCTAATGATTCTTGCCAGCCAAAACCACATAGCCCCGGCCTCGCTCAACCACCAACGCATCTACCTGGCCCTGCTAACCTCCCTGCAGATTTTTCTAATTCTAGCATTTTCAGCTACTGAAGTGATCATGTTTTATGTCATGTTTGAAGCAACCCTAGTCCCCACGCTAATGCTCATCACCCGGTGGGGTAACCAAACAGAACGCCTCAACGCGGGCACTTACTTCCTTTTTTATACCTTAGCCGGATCCCTCCCCTCCTGGTCGCACTACTCCTGCTCCAAAACTCAACAGGGACTCTTTCTATTGTCTCACTACAGTATGTCTCAGCTTTCCCCCTTCTCTCCACCGCAGATAAGTTCTGGTGAGCCAGTTGCTTAATTGCATTCCTAGTAAAAATACCCCTTTATGGCATGCACCTTTGACTACCCAAAGCACACGTAGAAGCTCCCATTGCAGGGTCCATGATTCTGGCAGCCGTATTACTAAAACTTGGAGGTTACGGTATAATGCGCATAATAATTGTCCTTGAACCACTCACCCAGCACCTCGCCTACCCTTTTATTATCCTTGCTCTATGGGGGCGTTGTCATAACTGGCTCTATTTGCCTCCGTCAAACCGACCTGAAGTCTCTTATTGCCTACTCCTCAGTGGGCCACATGGGGCTCGTGGCTGCAGGTATCTTGATTCAAACCCCCTGAGGTTTCACCGGGGCCTTATTCTTATGATTGCCCATGGTCTTACCTCCTCAGCACTATTTTGTTTAGCCAACACAAACTATGAACGCACCCACACTCGAACTATGGTGCTGGCCCGAGGCTTACAGATAGTTCTTCCCCTCATAACAGCCTGGTGGTTTATTGCAACTCTGGCAAACCTAGCCCTCCCACCCTTCCTAACCTCATGGGAGAACTCATAATCATCACCTCCCTGTTTAACTGGTCTTGATGAACCATTGCATTGACCGGGGCTGGCACTCTTATCACTGCGGGCTACTCCTTATACATGTTTCTCATGACTCAACGAGGACCAAGCCCAGCCCATCTGACCTCCCTGGAGCCCACCCACACCCGAGAACACCTACTGCTCGCCCTCCACCTCATTCCCTAATGCTCCTGATCCTTAAGCCTGATCTAGTCTGAGGGTGAACTTCATGTGGTTATAGTTTAACCAAGACATTAGATTGTGGTTCTAAAAATAGAGGTTAAACTCCTCTTAACCACCGAGAGAGGCCTGCTAGCAGCGAGGACTGCTAATCCTCGTCCCCCTCGGTTGGATTCCGGAGCTCCCTCGCCCGCTTTCAAAGGATAACAGCTCATCCGTTGGTCTTAGGAACCAAAAACTCTTGGTGCAAATCCAAGTGAAAGCTATGCACCCCACTTCTTTCATAATAGGCTCCAGCTTAATCATCATTTTCTCACTGCTTACTTTCCCTATCTTTACAACACTTACCCCCACCCAAAAACGCCAAGTTGGGCCCTTTCACACGTTAAAACCTCCGTAAAGCTCGCATTCTTTGTTAGCCTGCTCCCCCTATTTCTATTCCTATCCGAAGGAGCAGAAACAATTATCACCACTTGGTCTTGGATAAATACACTCACGTATGATATCAACATTAGCCTCAAATTTGACTTCTACTCCATCCTCTTCACCCCGATTGCCCTATACGTCACTTGGTCTATTTTGGAGTTTGCCTCTTGGTACATGCACGCCGACCCCTACATACCCCGATTTTTTAAGTACCTTCTCACCTTCCTGATTGCTATGATTATCCTGGTCACAGCTAACAACATGTTTCAAATTTTCATCGGGTGGGAAGGAGTAGGCATCATGTCCTTCCTACTTATCGGATGGTGGTATGGCCGGGCGGATGCGAACACTGCTGCCCTCCAAGCAGTCCTTTATAACCGCGTGGGCGACATCGGACTTATCTTTGCTATAGCTTGAATGGCCACTAACCTGAACTCTTGGGAATTTCAACAAATTTTCTCCACGACACAAAACATAGACCTAACATACCGCTAATCGGACTAATCGTTGCTGCCACTGGAAAGTCGGCGCAATTCGGACTTCACCCTTGACTACCCTCCGCTATGGAGGGTCCCACTCCGGTCTCTGCCCTACTTCACTCCAGCACTATAGTCGTAGCCGGCATTTTCTTGCTCATTCGTATGAGCCCTCTCATACAAAACAACCCCACAGCCCTCACCATCTGTCTATGCTTGGGTGCCCTAACTACACTATTCACAGCGACCTGCGCCCTCACCCAGAACGACATCAAGAAAATCGTAGCTTTTTCTACATCCAGCCAGCTTGGCCTTATGATGGTTACCATCGGACTAAACCAACCCCAACTAGCATTCCTGCACATTTGCACACATGCCTTCTTCAAAGCTATGCTGTTCCTCTGCTCGGGGTCCATCATCCACAGTCTCAATAATGAGCAAGACATCCGAAAAAATGGGGGGCATACATCATCTCACCCCCTTCACCTCATCCTGCTTGACACTGGGCAGCCTTGCTCTAACAGGCACACCTTTCCTTGCTGGCTTCTTCTCTAAGGATGCTATTGTTGAGGCCCTCAACACCTCCTACCTTAATGCCTGAGCCCTCGCCTTAACCCTCATTGCCACCTCCTTCACAGCAATCTATAGCCTACGCGTAGTATTTTTTGTCTCAATAGGACACCCCCGCTTTAACTCAATTTCCCCAATCAATGAAAACAACCCGTCAGTCATTAACCCTATCAAACGACTTGCCTGAGGAAGCATTGTTGCTGGGCTACTAATCACCTCTAACATTATTCTCCCAAAAACCTGCGTTATGACCATGCCGCCCCTTCTTAAACTAGCCGCCCTTATCGTGACCATTATGGGCCTTCTCACAGCCCTAGAACTAGCCTCCCTGACCTCTAAGCAATTCACCCAAACCCCTCACCTGGCCGCCCATCACTTTTCCAACATGCTCGGGTTTTTCCCCAACATTATGCACCGACTGCCCCCCAAACTTAATCTGTTTCTCGGTCAATTTATCGCGGCCCAAATAGTTGACCAAACATGACTAGAGAAGTCCGGCCCAAAGGCAGTGCAGACGATGAACCTCCCTCTAATTACCACCGTCAGCAACACCCAGCGGGGCATGGTGAAAACATTCCTTGCTTTCTTCTTTATTACAGCTCTGTTTACCCTTCTCATTGCACCGCTCTAAACTGCCCGTAAAGAACCCCGGCTTGACCCACGACACACCTCAAGAACCACAAATAATGCCAGTAGAAGGGCTCACGCGGTTAAAACCAGCATAGGCCCTCCCATGTTGTACATGGCCGCGACCCCTCCAACATCTGCCCGCAACAGGGAGAACTCTACAGACTCGTCCACCACAGGCCACACCTCCGTGAACCACCCCCCTCAAAAGAAACTCCCTGCGACTACAACCCCACCAAATACCCCCCAGCATTAAGAGCAACAGAACGGCTACCCAACGTCTCGGGGTAAGGCTCGGCAGCCAAGGCTGCGGAGTAAGCAAACACCACCAGCATTCCACCCAAGTAAATCAAGAACAACACCAAAGACAGGAACGGAGCCCCATGCCCTACCAACACACCACACCCCATGCCAGAAACTACCACCAACCCCAGGGCCCAAAATAAGGGGACGGGTTTGAAGCAATCACCACTAGTCCAAGAACTAACCCCAACATAAAAATACACATAACATAAGTCATTATTCCCACCAGGAATCTAACCAGGACTAATGGCTTGAAAAACCACCGTTGTTATTCAACTACAGGAAACCTTAATGACCAGCCTACGGAAAACCCACCCCTCCTTAAAATCGCAAATGGCGCACTTGTGGACCTACCCGCCCCATCCAACATTTCTGCTTGATGGAACTTCGGATCTTTGCTAGGCCTTTGCCTCATCGCTCAGATCTTAACTGGCCTCTTTTTGGCGATACACTACACTTCTGATATCGCCACTGCCTTTTCATCCGTCGCCCACATCTGCCGTGATGTAAACTTCGGCTGACTTATCCGAAACATACACGCTAACGGCGCCTCTTTCTTCTTCATCTGCATCTACCTTCACGTGGGCCGAGGACTATACTACGGGTCCTACCTGTACAAAGAGACTTGAAACATTGGGGTCGTGCTTCTTCTGCTTGTAATGATGACTGCTTTCGTCGGATACGTCCTCCCCTGAGGCCAGATGTCCTTCTGAGGTGCTACTGTCATCACCAACCTCCTATCGGCAGTCCCATATGTAGGCAACAGCCTGGTACAATGGATCTGAGGGGGATTCTCGGTAGACAATGCAACTTTAACACGGTTTTTTGCCTTTCACTTTTTATTCCCATTCGTAGTGCTAGCCGCCACGATTCTACACTTGCTATTCCTGCATGAGTCCGGATCAAATAACCCCACCGGCCTTAACTCAGACGCGGACAAAATCCCATTTCACCCATACTTCTCCTACAAGGACTTAATCGGCTTTGCTGTAATATTAATTGCACTTGCCTCGCTCGCGCTCTTCTCTCCAAACTACCTCGGCGACCCGGACAACTTCACCCTGCCAACCCGCTCATCACGCCCCCTCACATCAAGCCGGAATGATATTTTCTTTTCGCCTACGCCATCCTGCGCTCAATCCCCAACAAGCTAGGAGGAGTGCTTGCCTTACTAGCATCCATCTTGGTGTTACTCTTGGTTCCATTTCTGCACACCTCAAAGCAACGAGGCCTCACCTTCCGTCCCCTATCTCAATTCTTGTTCTGAACCCTTGTGGCCGACGTCCTTATCCTGACATGAATTGGAGGCATACCGGTAGAGCACCCCTATATCATCATCGGCCAGCTAGCCTCGCTCCTGTACTTCTCAATTTTCCTCGCCCTCTTCCCACTCGCCGGGTTGGTAGAGAACAAGCTCCTTCAACTAGCCTGCACTAGTAGCTCAGCGCCAGAGCGCCGGTCTTGTAAACCGGCCGCCGGAGGTTAAAATCCTCCCTACTGCTTCAAAGAAGGGAGATTCTAACTCCCGCCACTAGCTCCCAAAGCTAGCATTCTGAATTTAACTATTCTTTGTGTAATGCATATATGTACTTATAGCATATATATATATGAAGCATATATAGTAATTACTTAGGACATTACTATGTATTATCAACATTAATCGGATTTACCCATTCATACACCAGCAAACCTACAAGGTTTACATTCTAATTATGGATGTTGACATATAATACCCTAGTATTATCGTTTCAAGTCAGTAGGACAAAAAAATCAATTACAGCACTATAATATCGAGAACACTCAAACCAAAATCAAAATCCGATGCAGATAAGGAAGACATATTAGTCAAGCCTTGTACCGTCGGTTAATGAGGGTGAGGGACAATACTTATAAAATCTTGCCCACTGTGAATTATTCCTGGCATCTCTTGTTGGTGGAGTACATTTTGGACCGTGACCCCACATGCCAAGCGTTCATTCTAATGGACATGGTTATTTTTTTCTCTTTTTCTTTTCAACTGGCATCTCACAGTGCAGGGCTTAAGCCCTATGTTAAGGTGGAACATCTCCTTGCTCCGCGTCCAAATTGTTCGTGGTGAAAAGATTTTATTATAAGAACTGCATAATTGATATCAAGAGCATAAATAGTTAGTGATTACTCCTAGAAACTCTAAGATACGACCCCTCTTAGGTTTTTTGGGGGTAAACCCCCCTACCCCCCTAAACTCGTGACCTGGTATTCAATCCTGCAAACCCCCCGGAAACAGGAACGCCTCGAGATAGGGAACGCCCGCCCAACCACACGTGCACACGCGCGCATGTATAATATTGCAATATTATTTAT